TGGTCAAAATGCCAGTCTCACATTGTCTATGTGCTTTTCTGATTTTCATTTACTCTCATTTCTTTCAATCACCAAATAAGTACCATGTCCTGAGTTAATGGAAAATAGGTAGAAGTTTGGCGGTTGTTTTTTTCTCCCTCCCAAATCTCTGACAACCCTAGTGAAAAGAACAAATTTTCAGTCCTAGAGTTTTTTGAGTATAGGCAACAGAGAATTGAAAAATGTCGAGGAAGTTCTGTTTTAGTCAAAAAGTTTTAACCTTCCACTTTTGACATTCTTTATTTTTGTAGCATCCATGTTACTAGTTTCTGCCCTGCCCACAGGAGGGAATCTTTTAAAGAAAAACCTAGTTATTAATGTGGTCTCTTTTGTTGTAACTCATTGCGAAGGCAGCAACCCAAGGGTTTATTTTCTCAACGTGCTTGGCATATCTTAACGCCCCAGCTCAGACCTCAGAGTTTGATTTGGGAGGAATCCGAGCCCCTGGCTTGCTCTGACTCACTGAAGAAGCCGCTGCCTTTCCCTGCTATCTCTCTGAAAGGGGTGGGGGTGCCTGATGTCTAAGAAAACCACCCAACTCAGAAACAAGCTGTGTTCACCTTGGCCTTTCAGAAATATTCTCTCTCTCTCTCTCTATCTCTCTTTCCCCCCTATGTTGTGATTCAGCTTGTGATGTTGAAAAGACATCCATTTCTTCACTTTTTTATATGTCCTATTCTCTCCTCCTCCATCCACCGCTCCCCCTCTTTTTTTAAAAAAGGGGGCACACATTTCTTTTTCTCCAGATCTAGAAAATAGCTCCCTGATGCTTCAGGGAAACTAACTTACAAACATGTTGGACTCCTTTGGGAGTAGGCAGAGCATTTCCAAGGCCAAGGGGCCAGAAGGAAGTTAGAACATGTGGCCAAAGCTGACTGGAAACTGAATCTTGGAGATCTGCCTGGTGCCTGCCTGGGCAACTTAATATTATCCTGAATATTATTCAAGACCTGCCAGGTCATAGATAATGGTGGAAAAGGGGAGCAGTGGCCAATGGTATCCTTAGCCTGGAATTGAAAAGGAAGTTAAAATCACAGAAAGAAATGACTGCCCCTCCCTTCGGTATTTTGAGGCAGGGATTACAGGATCATAGCCCTAGAAAAGAGGTTCTTAACCAGGGGTCTGTGAACTTGTTTTAAAAAAAAATTATAACTATTTCAAGATCATTGTTTTCCTTTGTGATTCCAGGTATTTTGTTTTCTGCATTTAAAAACATTATTCTGAGAAGGTATCTATAGGCTTCACCAGAATGCCAATAGGGTACATGACCCAAAAAAAGGTTAAGAACCCCTGGTCTAGAGCAAGGATCAGCAGACTATGGCTGAGGTTTTTGTATAGCCTATGAGCTAAGAATGGTTTTCTTATTTTAAAAACAATAAAATTTTATTTAAAAATAAAAAAAAAACATTCTTAGCCTGTGGGCTGTACAAAAACCAGTGGTGGGCCAGATTTGGCTTGCAGGCTGTAGTTTTCTGAGCTCTGGTCCAGAGTGCAGAGTCCTCAGAGGCCATTTAGTTCAACCTTCCTTATTTTACAGATAAGGAAACTGAGGCATAGAAGTGAAGGAGAGCTATTCTTGGGCCAGTAGTCCTCTCTTATTCTCCAAAACCTTTTTCTAATTTAAGACATGACAAGTGGAATAAGCATCTTTGCTTTGCTGGGGGGATGCCACCCATGTGATTTGAACAGCACACTTTTGCTGCTGAGCTCCCTGAGAAGTGGTTGGGCTGGTGCACATGGAACCCAGATGCCCAGAAACCTTGAGTTAGATGGAGAGTCAATGGCTTGCAGGGTCTTTCTCCTAACCTTCAGTCTCTTGGCTTGACTAGTGTAATGATGCCTCCATTTGTCTCCTGGAAAATATTGAGCCCGGAACAGTAATGCACTTCTGTCTCCTACCATGCTGGGGCTGTGACTAAGCTAATGGAGACCACCTTTCCCCCGCTTCCCCCCAATCAAGGAGTCTTTTTGGCCATGACTTTCTAAGAATAGAATAGTTTTCTTCCCAAATCACTTAAGTTCCTTGTCTCTTTTCTCTCCATGCCTCCTTGGATCTTTCATCCTTTTCCATCTCCTCCTATCCCTCCCCTATTTCACTAGTAAAGTCATAGGAAAGTGATGCTGTTCCTGGCACCTTGCACACCTGTCTTTCATATTGGAGGCACTTAAAAATGTTTGTCAAATAAATGAATCATGATACTCACACCCACTATGTCCATAGCACTTCATGGATTTTTGAGGCACCTTTACTGAAATTATGTCATCATTCAAATTATCCGATTTAATCAACTCCTCACTGCTTTCTCCCAGTGCCAGTGATTAGCAGGTCCAGAGGTTAGCTTGTTCTGAGATAATACATATAAAGTGCTAAGCACAATGCATGCTTATGCAAGGGCACATACAAGGTGCTATATAAAAATTAGTTATTATTATTATTATTATTGTTTTCCCTGAACATTTTCAATACAATGAATTTCTTGGTTTTTCGGCTAGTAGGGTAGCTGGCCACAATTGGGGACTTACTCCCCATCATCCCAGATTAGATTAAACCTAAACTCTTCAGAGCTTGGCTCCCTAAACTCCCTCTTGGAGAGAAAAAACAGGTTTCTCCTCCTCTTTATGGAAAGTCACTTCTCCAGTTGTTTCCTCTGACTGGAGAGAGACAGACTGGGTAAAGGAGACAGTTTGCTTCACCTTTGATTCATTAGGAATAACAAACCCGACTGCCAAAAGCACTCTGGAGGGAGGGAAGACTTGGCCAAATGGGGCTCTTTCTCTTCACAGAGAGATTAGGCATGGCCACGGCTTTGCCATTAATTACAGAGGCACTTTTTGATCCCCACTTCCTGCTTGACCTTATATCAGGTTAAGCATCAGTTTTCTGTAGCCATGTCTGTCTAAAAACAAAACAAAGCAAAGCAAAGCAAAAAAAAAAAAAAAAAAAAAAAGCCAAACCATCACCCAACATGAAGCCCCTAAAGCTCCTGGGAGTCTGATGCTGGAAGAAGAAAGTTGTGGCTTCACTCAGACTGGGGAACTTATTAGTCATTTTACAGATGCTGTGCTGTCCTAATTTCCTGGCAGGAATGATGCTGTGAAATATGAATATAGCCCTAACATGGAGAGGCTAATGGTAGGAGAGGGGAGCGAGTGACTTCTCTCCTACATTCATCGAGGGGGTAGTCATGGCCCTATGAGCAGCAGCACCCGGAGGAAGAAAGTTCCTGCACAGGCAGAGAAACCCACACTTCCAGGGTGTTTATAAGTGCTCCCTTAGCTCTGCTTCTCCCACGTCTCTTTTAATCTCCCTTACAACTTGAGGAGGTGCTAATACACCTTTAGATCAAGACTTCTCCCCTTCTTTAACAACTGCAGAATAGGTGTCCTGGATGCAACTTGGAATACAAATCTGAAGGGGGACAGGGATCCTTTATGAACTCTTCAGGAATTTGGATTCTCTCTCCACTCCTTTTCTCTACTAGATCTAAGCTTCAAGGGAAAGATTACTTTCCAGGACATGGAATGTGTAAAAGTATTCTGGACCCTGGGAGTTAGGGAGTCTTACCGCTGAGCCCCTAAATGCAAATGGCTAGTATTTATATAGTGCATTAAGGTTTGCAATCTCATTTGATCCTCTCAATAAACCTATTAAGTAGATGCTATTATTGCCCCATTTTACAGATGGGAAAACAGGCTGAAAGAGGATGAATTATCCAGAATCACACTACTAGTAAGCACCTGTAGCAGGACTGGAATTCAGGTCTTCTTGATTCCAGGGCCAAGACTGCAATCTCCTGTGCCACCCAAACAGCTCCCTAGTCCTCCTAGGTAGAAACTTACTTTCCCAAATTCCAGAAGGACAATTTGATTAAATCTAAACTCTTCAAACACCCAAGCAGAATAGTTTCCCACCCCAATATGTAAACAAGCCCATCATTTAGGTAAAAGTTGTGTTTGTGGTGGGGGGGAGCTAGTCCTTGACTCTAACCAGTAACTCACAAGAAAATCAATAATCCCCACCCTCCTTTGAGGAAGCAGTAATAAAAATAATCCATATGCATATAGTGCTTTAAGATCATAAACGTTTAGTATTAGAAAGGACCTTAGAAATTACCTAGTCTAGTCCAATCCCTTTATTTTATCGGCCCACAAGACATTTTCCTTAAAAAGAACCCTACAAAGTAAATAGTGTATTAGTATCCCCATTTTACAGAAGAAAAAACTGAGGATCAGAGAGGCAAAGGGACTTGCCCAAGATCACACAGCTAAGGGTCAGAGCCAGAGCCAGAACCCAGGTCTCTAGACTCAGAGTCTAGCGCTTTTTCCATTAAGACTCCTCTCATGCCAATATTCTCTTCGCCTCCCCCGGTCTTGTCTAGGAAGTTTCATGTTGTTTTGTTTTTTTTGTTAAAAAGAAAAAAAACCTCTCCGCCTAGATCTGCAAAGTCCCTTCCATGGACTGACTCATTCTGCTTACCAGGGTGTTGCTTTCGCCGCTGTTTCATCTCTAGCACCCACTAATCCTCTGACATCCCTCTCCAACTCCCTACTGAGGCCTTGGCATCGCACCAGCACAGGTTTAGGGAGGGGGCAAAGTGAACAAAGTGAGGGGTGTCCCCCAGGCAGGACACTTGCTCTTAGCTGAATGACTCTCGGGATCCCCTTCCGACCCATCCCGGGACCCCCTACTGGCAAGGGATGGTGGGGATACAGTTGGGGATACGAGGCTGAAACCCCGTCGGGGCTGGAGGCATCCTCAGCCTTCTGGTACGCATTAGAATTAAGTGTTTCCCATTAGACGTCCTTGGTCCTCATTAGAGGGCTGCTGCCCTCCGCCCCTACCCAGGATGAGAGGTTTCCTAATGAGCTCATTTGGGTGGCGGGGCGGTGGGTGGGGAGGATCCCCCTGTCTTCTGCGGCTCGCGACCCCCTTCCTCCCGCCAAGTCCCGGGGTCACTTACTGTCCTGCGGCGCCGCCTCGCTGCCGCTGCTCCCCCCGGATGGCTCCTGCAGCCCCCGGCTGCCGTCCCGGGGCTCGGCCCGGGGCTCGCGACCTCCGTTCCTGCCCGCGGCCGCCACCTCCTCCAGGTCTAAGAGGTGGCTGACGCTGAAGTTCTTCCTGGCCTGGGCGCAGTCCCCCGGCTCCAGGAGGCGGCCGCCCAGGGGCTGCTGCGGCCCGAACGCCTTGTCCATGGCGAAGGCTCCGGAGGTGGCGGCGGGGGCAGCGGCCGGGGCGCTGGGGCTGTCCATGCCCCCGGCGGGCGGGCGAGCCTCCGAGCCGCGCGGCGAGGGAGCTCCGGCCACCCGGAGCCTCTCTCCGAAATAAACTTTTTTTAAACCTCGCCCCCAACTCTGCCCCCTTGCAGCCCCCTCACTTTTTCTAACTCTTGTTCCTCCTCGCGCTGACTCTGTGAGAAAATAAACTTTTTCTCCCTCTTTCCTTCTCTTTCTCCTTCGCTTTTTCCCTGAAGTTGTTAAAAAACAGTCTCCTCTCTCCACACGCCCCTTCTTGAAGGGAACCTCTTTCCTTCGTCTCTCCCTCCTTCCTTTCCTCCTCCTCCTCCTCCTCCTCCTCCTCCTCCTCCTCCTCCTCACTCTAGTCCTCTCCCCTTCTCCAGCCCGTGGAGGGGCGGTGGGGGTTGGGGTGGGCGTGGGGTCAAAATAGGGGAGTCAATACCCAAAGGCATAAAAAGAAGCTTTGGGAGTTGGGGGTATTGGAGGAGGAAAACAGTAATTGTTTTTCTTCCCTCACCACCCCCAACACACACACACACACACACACACACACACACACACACACACACACTCACTCACTCACTTCTGCCAGTTTCTTAGAGCTAACAGTGGTTGGGAAAGTTAAGAACTTCTATCAACAAGTGTCAGAGAATGTGTTTCCTTCTAGTTAGAAGACTGCAATGGATAGTAGTAGTGGGTGGATGGGGGTGTGTTTTTTCCTTCCCATCTGCAAATTCCTCTGGAAGTGGGGAACTGATGCAGAAGGTTAAGGGGAGAAAGCTTCATAATCATCTTTCCCACCCCTCAATGTATTCTGTCTTTCCAACACTGCACCAACACAGGACCCCCACCCTGAAATGGAATGACTCCAGAGGCTTCAAAATCCCCACTGCCTCCCCAGTCTTGAATCAAGGTCATCTCCAGTGGGCAAGACTAGCTCTCCGACTTTAATGAGATAATTGTGCCCCATACCACAGTCAAAAACACCCCATCCCCAGGGACAGTTCAAGGAACCTCCCTAATGGAAACCAGGAAAGGAAAAAACGAGTTTTCCTTTCTAATTTTTTTTTTTAAAGAAAAGAAAGTAGAGATAAGCTTTGAAAGTGGGGCTAGGGTGTATCGCTGGAATAGTTTTAACTACACTCCATGTTGCTCAAAGCCAAGAGGGAAAGCACCATGAGACATTTTTTAATGGATGTTTGGTCACTGTTCTTTTCTATATTATAAATATGTGCAGAACAAGAAAATAATTAGAAGATACATTCAAAACGACAGACAATAAAAACTTACAAATAAGGATAACAACTTATGATTTGTTCTCTCCATTGTACCTTGCCTTGTCTTTGTCCATTCATATAAGCATAAACACATACATTTTTACAATTGTCAGTGCATTTACTGTTCCAGTCCTGATTCCTTTACCCTACACATTGCTTTTGCTCATCTTAGTACCCATTTTCAATGGCAGCATGATATCTCATACCTTGATGGAGCACAGTTTATTTAGCCCAACTCCAACCCTTGGACACTTAGGTTGTTTCCAGTTTTTCCTCTTTTGTAGATAACGCAGCTATGCACAAATGTGTACAGATGATCTTCTCACTATTCCAATTTATTGTACCATAACTTTAATAACAACATAACTCATTGGGGGTTTGAATTTTTTTTTTTAATTAAGGAAACATTTCTGTGTGCTCATTTTAAAATTATAGGCATTTCTTTTTTTTTTTTTTAAAGTTACTCTCTCATAATAACTTCAACTGATGATTCAACTGAAACTTTATGGAGTTGCAGGAGCTTTTTTTGTTTTCTTTTAAAGGAGCAACCCCAAATTAATTAGAGTAGACCCTCTTGTCTCTTGTCACAACCACGTCCATAACAATTGATTGGGAGGTCACAAACAAATGGACTGTGAGTTTCTGGATAAAGCCCCAGGGACAACAAAGATTTCTCTTCCTTGAAAATAGCATCTCAAGTAATGAAGAGTGAAGCCAGTGAGACACAATTTTAATAACAACAGTTAGTATTTATATGGGATTTTAAAGCTTGCAACAACCAGGTGAAGTAGGTTAAGAGCTTACAACTATTTTAATCTTTTTTTTTACAGTTGAGGAAACTGAGGCTGAGAAAACCTAAATAATTTGTGCAGGGAACACAGCCAATAAGTGCCAGAGGCAAGAGTCAAACTCAGATTTTTCATGACTCCTGGTAAAGCATGCAAAGTACTGGGTCTACCATTCATTACCCGTGTGATCTTGGACAAGTTGCCTTGAATCTCTGAGCTGGCTTCTGTTTCCTCCTCTATAAAATTAAAGAGTTGGATTAGGTACCTTTACAGTCTTGTGAAGCTTTAAAAATCTATGATTCTATATGTTGTGGCCAGAGAAAATGAATTCTTTCACCTACTCATCAGACAGCATGGAGTATAGGGACAGCCCAGGATTTGGAGTCAAAGGATGTGAGTTTGAATACCAGGTCTCCTACTTGTTGTATGTGTTACCTTGGAAAGATACTTTCCCTCTCTAGACCTCAGTTTCTTCCTCTGTAAAAGAAGGAGGTGGGATTAGATAAACCTTAAAGTCCCCTTGAAGTCTAAATTCTGATTGGATTTAATTCAACAAATATTTATTAAGTTCCTATATACATGGCATTATGCAAGACATTGAAGACATAAAATCAAACAAGAAACAGTCCCTACAGAGAATTATTAATTTGAGAGTAAGGGAGGGATCACGGAGGTCTGCAAGGAAAGAGATGGTACCTGAGCTGAGACTGGAATAAAGAGGAGGATTCTGAGAGAGGGAGATGAGGAAGGAGTGCATTCCAGGCAGGAGCCTGGCTTGTGCCAATGCCTAGAGGCGAGAAAGAGGTGGGATGCTGTTCCAGGACCAGAAAGTAAGCCAGTGTGGCTGGAATACAGAATATGTGAAGAGGAGCACTGTGAAATAAGGCTGGAAAGATAGAATGGAAGAGACTTACACATGAGGTTGAAGAGTTTGTTTTATTCTAGAGACAAGAGGGAACCATTGACAACTTTTGAGCAAAATTTTTGAGCTGCACAGGTTCAACCCCATGCTCAAGAATGTCAACTCCCCTGTTCCAGGGGACCTAGAAGTCAGGATAAAATACAAATCCCTTTTGCATTTAGAGCCTTTCACAATGTGATGGCAACTTGTCTTTTCAGACTGATTTCACATTGCTCTCCACCCCCTTCCAGCCCTTCCCTCTACCTGACATGACGTTTCCTGACACTGGGCCATTGTGAAGGTTGTCCCTCATGGTTGGAATCCACTCTCACCTTACTTCCACCAAGGTCCTTTCAAGGCTTACCTCAAGCTCCATTTGTTACTTGAGACCTTTCCTGATTTCCTCAGTTGTTAGTACCTTCCCCCTTTGCTCCCTTCCCTGCCCCCTCCATGCTTTGTATTTACTTTGTACATCATATATCTTGTTTATCTATTAACATGTTCCTCACCACCACTAGTAGAGGAGTGGGGCTTCAACTTCACAGAACATAATACTCTTCCCAGGTTAAATTTGTTGCCTCTAATCTCACCTTCATGGGACCAACTCAGGCCTTGACTGATCCTACCTCCCTCAGCCTCCTCTCCCCTCTGATTGGAAGGCTGGAGGGTGGAGTGCCAAACTCCTCCCAATGTTTTCCTTTAGAGAGCGCAGAAACTGGACTTTTTGGACTCATTCTGTTCCCCATCTGGCACTCTGCCTGGTTTCAACTCCATGGCCTCAAGCCCATGCCGAGTTAAGGGGGTGTCCACCCCCAGAATGGGAAGACTTCCCCTGAGAAATGGTCAGATAACAATTTGTTCCAATGGCTATGAAGGCTGAAGAAGCAGGTGGTGTGTAGCCCTTGGTGCTTGGTCAGACACTGAAGGTCATCCACTGCATCCCAGGCCATGGACAGTGGTCTTGACTTTCGTCTTGCCACTGGACTTTTTCAGGAAGAGAGAATGAAACTGATGGCTTTGTGCAACTGTCTCACTTAAGTGTAATTCACATGTTAGTCAAGACATCAGCTGATATCATTGATCCTCTTCAACAAAGAAGGACACATAACAACAATGCTCAATGCCAGGCACAAAGTAGGCATTTAATAAATGTTGATTGGATTGGATTATTTCCCTTTTGTTTTTGCAGCCACATTACTTTCCTGTCACAAGCTAAGTGTTTAATTAATGCTTGTTGAAAGTTGAATGACACTGAAGTAATTTGCATATCAGGCCTGAAGGCCGATGGGTCAACCTTAATAGTGTAGATCCCAGTTTAAACCAATCCTTTTCTCCTCTTACCAACTTTTCCTCCTCTGGGCCCTCTGTCCTTCCTTTCTCCTTCCATCTGTCTCTACCCTTCCCCCCAAAGTGGGATGGGGGAGGGAATCCTTCATTGCCAGAACCTCATGATTTAAAATTTTTATTAAACTTTGAAGGTTTGTCTGGTCATAGCTGAATTCTCTCATACTCTACCTGTCCTGGGTTCTAGTTTGCCCATGTCTGGAGGCATAGGTGGTTTAGATTAGCTGGAGATTCAATACCAGGAATCACACAGGTCAGAGAGTACTGAGTGAACTGCTTCAATGGGCTTCTGGGGAACATTTTGTTTTGTTTTGTCATAGCACCCTTGTGAAAGGTCCTTATTAGGGCAATGTTGATCAATCAGCTAAGTGAAATCTCTGACTAATCAACTGGGTGTGTGGAGATGGGGGAGGAGGTTGATGTAGGGGGGTGATCCCCAGCTTGAATTCCTTTATGGGTCAAATTGAATGTTTGAATGTTTGAATGTTTTAAGCACTGAAGCAATTGGGCAAAAGCAATAGTATATTACTGACCCAGTTAACTTACACACGATGTAAAAAGTTTAGGGAAGACACTCTCCCTGTCCTCAGGTCACTTACAGTGTGGCAAGGGGTCTTTAGGGCCTTTACCCCATGTAGTAAAAGAATACACATTCATTTAAAATGTGTCTTATGTCTAATTCTAGTCTCTATTACCTTCCTTCCC